TCGTAGTGAATTGTATATTGTATGTATATGTATTATGTTCTGATGGGCCCATGGCCTAAAATTTCATTAAATCTTGAATCCTGACTGAAATTATTCATGTTAAAATCATGCTTTTTTTAACGATTTAGATGAAATTCATGTTTACTGACAAATCTGCCTTTTTGACGAATTCGTTATGAATGATGATTAAAGCGACAGCACGGTGACGTATACATTCAATAACTGAAAATCGGTTTTAGCGGTATGTCCCTTTAAAAAACACAAAGTATAAATCAGATACAATATGGGAACTACATGTAGTATACCTTGTCATCTTTTACCATAGAATTCTATCTAGGAAGTTCCCGTCCAGCTACAATTTTGTAACAAAAGTCATTGGACTGCCAAAACAATCCAAATAAAACGGTTTATAGTGTGTGTCCATTACTTAATCTAACTACCGGAAGTGTGTCCATTACTTAATCTAACTACCGGAAGTGTGTCCATTACTTAATCTAACTACCGGAAGTGTGTCCATTACTAATCTACTGCCAAAACAATCCAAATAAAACGGTTTATAGTGTGTGTCCATTACTTAATCTAACTACCGGAAGTGTGTCCATTACTTAATCTAACTACCGGAAGTGTGTCCATTACTTAATCTAACTACCGGAAGTGTGTCCATTACTAATCTACTGCCAAAACAATCCAAATAAAACGGTTTATAGTGTGTGTCCATTACTTAATCTAACTACCGGAAGTGTGTCCATTACTTAATCTAACTACCGGAAGTGTGTCCATTACTTAATCTAACTACCGGAAGTGTGTCCATTACTAATCTACTGCCAAAACAATCCAAATAAAACGGTTTATAGTGTGTGTCCATTACTTAATCTAACTACCGGAAGTGTGTCCATTACTTAATCTAACTACCGGAAGTGTGTCCATTACTTAATCTAACTACCGGAAGTGTGTCCATTACTAATCTAACTACCGGAAGTCGAGTTTCTATCGCTATGGCCGAATTATTGCGCCACAGTCAAGTTAATCATTGATTGAATTTCCTACCGTACCACGTTTTTTCTTTCATAATTTCAAGGAATGTACGGCTGCCAGTATTCTTATTCACACTATGACGTAATAAAAAATTCCCACCCGCACAGGTATTGACGTTTTGTCACTCTTGTATTATACCAGCTGTTAATAGATTTATAACTGGACAATCGATATTGAACCACGTTAAAGATCTATCATATTTCAATTACGTATGTGTGTGCTGCCAGGTGTCGCACGTCTTTAGATCTTACAAAGGACAGTGGGTTGTATTTACGTCGAGTTGTTCGATTACTATATCCTTTCTGCAAAATTTAACGATGTATTCCCAGTGTAATTTTCTGTGTTGGCAATTCCTAATTAGTTTTTAGTTTTTAGTATTTTATAATTTGAAAAAGGTTTTGCACATTTCTCATATTAAAATGTTTTGCACATTTCTCACATTATTCAAAAAGTATCAGTTTACTGACAAAAACATGTTGCGCCACAATTCATTAATTTTAAGACATCTTTACCAACAATTATCACAAAGCCACAAATGAGTCCAATCTCTGTCTCTCTAACTCCGAACTAAGGTATACTATGAATTGAAACTAACAATACTGATAGCAAACAGGTGGAAAATACATGTATATCTGTACACCTGTATTTCTGTATTTTTCTGTATTTTTGTACTCGTGTATTTCTGTTTATTTTCCTTATTTCAGTACGCATGTATATCGGTATTTTTTCTGTATTTCTGTATACATGTATATCTGTACACATGTATATCTGTACACATGTATTTCTGTACAGATATACATGTGTACATATACATGTGTACAGATATACATGTATTTCTGTACACATGTATATCTGTACACATGTATATTTGTACGCATGTATATCTGTACACATGTATATCTGTACACATGTATTTCTGTACAGATATACATGTGTACAGAAATACATGTCTACAGATATACATGTGTACAGATATACATGCGTACAGATATACATGTATATATGTACACATGTATATATGTACACATCTATATCTGTACACATGTATATCTGTACACATGCATATCTGTACACATGTATATATGTACACATGTATATCTATACACATGTATTTCTGGACACATGTATATAAGTACACATGTATATCTGTACACATGGATATCTGTACGCATGGATATATGTACACATGTACATCTGTACACATGTATATCTGTACGCATGTATATATGTACACATGTACATCTGTACACATGTATATATAAATATGTATATATGTACACATGTATATCTGTACACATGTATATATGTACACATGTATATCTGTACACATGTATTTCTGTACACATGTATATCTGTACGCATGTATATATGTACCCATGTATATCTGTACACATGTATATCTGTACACATGTATATATGTACACATGTATATATGTACACATGTATATCTGTACACATGTATATATACATATGTATATCTGTACACATTTATATATGTACACATGTATATCTGTAAAAATGTATATCTGTACGCATGTATATATGCACACATGTATATCTGTACACATGTATGATAAAAAGTGATTAAATGTCCATGTGAAGGAAGTAAATATAGAAAAAATAAAAAGTCGGTCGTTAATTTTATTTTTTCTATATGTACACATGTATATATACATATGTATATCTGTACACATGTATATATGTACACATGTATATCTGTACACATATATATCTGTACGCATGTATATATGTACACATGTATATCTGTACACATGTATATATACATATGTATATACATTTGTATGTACACATGTATATCTGTACACATGTATATCTGTACACATGTATTTCTGTACACATGTATATATGTACACATGTATATATGTACACATGTTTATCTGTACATATGTATATCTGTACACATGTATATATGTACACATGTATATCTGTACACATGTATATCTGTACACATGTATATCTGTACACATGTATATATGTACACATGTATAACTGTACACATGTATATATGTACACATGTATATCTGTACACATGTATATATGTACCCATGTATATATGTACGCATTTATATCTGTACACATGTATATCTGTACACATGTATATATGTACACATGTATTTATGTACACATGTATATATGTACACATGTATATCTGTACACATATATATCTGTACACATGTATTTCTGTACACATGTATATCTGTATACATTTATATATGTACACATGTATATCTGTACACATGTATATCTGTACACATGTATATATGTACACATGTATATCTGTACACATGTATATATGTACACATGTATTTCTGTACACATGTATTTCTATATCTGTACACATGTATATATGTACACATGTATTTCTGTACACATGTATATCTGTACACATGTATATCTGTACACATGTATATCTGTACGCATGTATATATGTACACATGTATATCTGTACACATGTATATCTGTACACATGTATATCTGTACGCATGTGTATATGTACACATGTATATCTGTACACATGTTTATCTGTACACATGTATTTCTGTACGCATGAACATCTGTACACATGTAGTTTTGTGTAATACGTTACGATATGATTGTAAAAACCCAATGCATAGATACATTTTTTTGGTATCGGGACAGCGATCTTTAAGGCATTACAATTATAAGTATTTTAAAAAAGCCTTTAAAACTTCCAACAATGTCACCATTGATAGTCTTATTTTACCGTTAAACATTTATATTGACACCGTATTCTCGGTATGAGTACTATACAGTATGTCATTTTGGCACCAGTGGTCTACCGTGGGACGGTGAAGTGCTACCCAGGTACCGTTAACGAAGTTTTGGCAGCTCGTCTTATTGGCGAACCTTTCTGAAAGACGTAAGCATTTGTTGGCTTTGGCTCAAAATGTCTGATTGTCGGAACAATTGCATGATGACAGATTTTACTTTGAGATAATCTTTTTTCTGATAACGTGTAATTTTTCTGATACCATGTAAATGTTATACCTACAGCATGTATACTTTGGTGACTTTATGGCAGATATCGGTATTCAGTTTACTTTAAACATAATTATTGCCAATAAAATTGAACAAGGGATTGGGCACAAGTTATTACAACTTATCATAGCCTTCTCCCGTCATACATTTACAATTACATCTCAACAATGATAATAGGCATACACATGAAGTAGATATATATATATTAATATTCACACAGGTACAAATACACAACTTTAAAAAAAAAGCACCGTTCAAAATCTTTTGCCGGATTTGATGAAGTGATACACATGTCTAAAAGCGTAAGAGTTAAGGTCCACCGAAAGATCTGAACTGCCAAGCAAAGGCAGCTCTAAATCTAAATCTAAACCTAAGGCATTCAGTGCTATGCTGCAGCTTCTCGATATATATCAGTAAGTCGTTATACATCTTTAACGTTTCCATGTATAGCTCGTATCGAAAAAAAATTCTATTCAACCAATTAAAAAATACCAGTTATGTTATATTCAGAGGTAACATTGTCATTGCTATTAAATATTTGTTTAAGTCCTTTTTAAATGAAGAATTTCTTAAAAGTTACATATTGGGATACATTTTAATAGAAGTATAAAAGAAAACTGAAAAACTATAGGGATCGAACTAAAAATCTTTGAATTGCAAAGTCTATACTTCACCAATAACGTCCTCCAGACATTATCTTTGTACTGCATCAATTGAGTGTCCAATTAAGGGGCCGTAGGTCTATGAGAAAAACTTGACAGGGGAATTTACTCTAAGGCAGAAGAAAGACTCCTTTTAGGTGTTTAACTGATGGTATGGTACTCTTTACCTTAAGGACCCTCGGGCGTGATCAGTAGATAGATGGGTACCCTCTCGCCCGTCTCAAACGCAAACAAGCATGTAGTTTATGTATAAATATTAATTACGGATATTTTTTGTTACAGGTTTATTATGTGATCCGGAACCTATTAAGTGGCTACCTACCTGGGATCGAGCTGCTTGTCGATGATTGGCCGAAATGGTCATGTATACTTCTCCGGCCGACATCGGAAAAAAAGGTGAATTTTATTTTGTATATTATAATATCCCGACATCCGTATCCTTATACAGTTTTCCTACTAGTATACTACGATACTTCGTTAATACGAACCAAAACAATACGGACTATTTATAATCCAGAAACATCAGTTATAACGTATTATCATTTCTTATCTTTATAACAGCGTATCTGATTGGATAATATTGATCACATGATAGAGGAATAAAACATCGTATCGATATCGCCCTCATGCGCTGGCGTTTCCCTGGGATTTCCCTTTTTCAAGGCCTCTCTCGAAGCATTCGGAACACCTCGCCCCGATTCCAGTTCCTTCCAACGTAGATGACCGTATCGGCCGAGAAGTTCCGAGTGCTCTCGAAGAAATTGGCAAGAGTTGTGAGTTCCGAGTGTCACTGAAGCAAACGACAACAGTGACGTGTCAATGTTGGCCATCTTTCCCTCTTTACTGTCGTGTTATGGTTTTATGTCGGTATAATACAAATACTTATGTCTTTGTCATAGGGAAACTCGATTGAATGTTCCCCTCGATTAATTATGATTAACTCGGACTTTGCACTCATGAAAGATGATTAATCTTGCGGAAAAAAGAAAAGTCGTGTTTACTTACGACAAGAACAGTAACGGAATAATATAATACCTCTCGTTTGGTCTGTCACCTTAAGGTCACCTTATTCTTGTGTCTTAACAGTTCCTTGTAAGTACTTTATCTTCAAATTGTTAAGGTTGGTCAGTACCATTTAGAAGTACCCCTCGATCGATTGTAAAAACCTTTGTATTAGTATCATCAAAAAGAAAATAGTATCGCTAACCGAACCAATGATGGCCGTATAATGACTTTTTACTTAAATATTGATATGATAATTTGTAGAATTGAAAACATATTTATATTCATGAACTTCCCTTCCAGACTCCGAGATAAAGACCAACAACAGCTAACGCTGGTCTGATCCGAGCAGGGAATACCCCGTCCATATCTATACACTCAGCATAAAATTGTTGGTACATGTTGTACCTGTTATTTATTGTCCGGATTAGAGGGGTTCTTCTTCAAGGTTTATTGGTAAATGATCTAAGTATGTTCAGATTATAGTATATTATCGTTGTCTGTTTCTGTCTAGACTACCTAGGTAACATGTATAGGTCCATGTCCTGCTGTTTCTGTCCAGACTACCTAGGTAATTACATGTATAGGTACATGTCCTGCTGTTCCTGTCCAGACTACCTAGGTTATTACATGTATAGGTCCATGTCCGTCTGTTTCTGTCAAGACTACCTAGGTAACATGTATATGTCCATGTCCTGCTGTTTCTGTCCAGACTACCTATGTAACATGTATAGGTCCATGTCCGTCTGTTTCTGTACAGACTACCTAGGTAATTACATGTATAGGTACATGTCCTGCTGTTTCTGTACAGACTACCTAGGTAATTACATGTATAGGACCATGTCCGTCTGTTTCTGTCCAGACTACCTAGCTCACACGTATAGGTCCATGTCCTGCTGTTTCTGTCCATACTACCTAGGTAACATGTATATGTCCATGTCCTGCTGTTTCTGTCCAGACTACCCAGGTAACATGTATAGATCCATGTCCGTCTGTTTCTGTCCAGACTACCTAGCTAACATGTATAGGTCCATGTCCTGCTGTTTCTGTCCAGACTACCTAGGTAACATGTATAGGTCCATGTCCTGCTGTTACTGTCCAGACTACCTGGGTAATTACATTTATAGGTCCATGTCCGTCTGTTTCTGTCCAGGCTACATAGGTAACATGAATATGTCCATGTCCTGCTGTTTCTGTCCAGACTACCCAGGTAACATGTATAGATCCATGTCCGTCTGTTTCTGTCCAGACTTCCTATGTAACATGTATAGGTCCATGTACGTCTGTTCCTGTCCAGACTACCTAGGTCACATGTATAGGTCCATGTGCTGCTGTTTCTGTCCAGACTATCTAGGTAACATGTATAGGTCCATGCCCTGCTGTTTCTGTCCAGACTACCTAGGTAACTACATGTATAGGTCCATGTCCGTTTGTTTCTGTCCAGACTACTTAGGTGACATGTATAGGTCCATGTCCTGCTGTTTCTCTCCAGACTACCTAGGTAGCATGTATAGGTCCATGTACGTCTGTTTCTGTCCAGACGACCTAGGTAATTACATGTATAGGTACATGTCCTGCTGTTTCTCTCCAGACTACCTAGGATAGGTCCATGGCTGCCTGTTTCTGTCCAGACTACATAGGTAACATGTATAGGTCAATGCCCTGCTGTTTCTGTCCAAACTACCTAGGTAACATGTATAGGTCCATGTCCTGCTGTTTCTCTCCAGACTACCTAGTATAGGTCCATGTCTGTCTGTTTCTGTCCAGACTACCTAAGTAACATGTATAGGTTCATGTCCTACTGTTTCTGTCCAGGCTACCTAGGTAACATGTATTTGTCCATGTCCGTCTGTTTCTGTCCAGACTACCTAGGTAACATGTATAGGTCAATGTTCTGCTGTTTCTGTCCAGGCTACCTAGGTAACATGTATTTGTCCATGTCCGTCTGTTTCTGTCCAGACTACCTAGCTAACATGTATAGGTCCATGTCCTGCTGTTTCTCTCCAGACTACCTAGTATAGGTCAATGTCTGTCTGTTTCTGTCCAGACTACCTAAGTAACATGTATAGGTTCATGTCCTACTGTTTCTGTCCGGACTACCTAGGTAACATGTATATGTCCATGTCCTGCTGTTTCTGTCCAGACTACCCAGGTAACATGTAAAGGTCCATGTCCGTCTGTTTCTGTCCAGACTACCTAGCTAACATGTATATGTCCATGTCCTGCTGTTTCTGTCCAGACTACCTAGGTAACATGTATAGGTTCATGTTCGTCTGTTTCTGTCCAGACTACCTAGGTAACATGTATATGTCTATGTCCGGCTGTTTCTGTCCAGACTACCTAGGTAACATGTATATGTCTATGTCCGGCTGTTTCTGTCCAGACTACCTAGGTAACATGTATATGTCAATGTCCGTTTGTTTCTGTCCACATGTATAGGTCCATATCCGTCTGTTTCTGTCCAGACTACCTAGGTTACCGTCTGTTTCTGTTTAGACTACCTAGGTAACATGTATAGCTCCATGTCCTGCTGTTTCTATCTAGACTACCTAGGTAACATGTGGTCCATGTCCTGCTGTTTCTGTCCAGACTACCTAGGTAATTACATGTATAGGTCCATGTCCGTCTGTTTCTGTCCAGGCTACCTTGGTAATTACATGTATAGGTCCATGTCCGTCTGTTTCTGTCCAGACTACCTAGCTAACATGTATAGGTCCATGTCCTGCTGTTTCTGTCCAGACTACCTTGGTAACATGTATAGGTCCATGTCCGTCTGTTTCTATCCAGACTACCTATGTAACATGTATAGGTCCATGTCCGTCTGTTTCTGTTTAGACTACCTAGGTAACATGTATAGGTCCATGTCCGTCCGTTTCTGTCCAGACTTCCTATGTAACATGTATAGGTCCATGTACGTCTGTTTCTGTCCAGACTACATAGGTAACATGTATAGGTTCATGCCCTGCTATTTCTGTCCAGACTACCTAGGTAACATGTATAGGTTCATGTCCTACTGTTTCTGTCCGGACTACCTAGGTAACATGTATAGGTCCATGTCCGTCTGTTTCTGTTTAGACTACCTAGGTAACATGTATAGGTCCATGTCCTGCTGTTTCTATCTAGACTACCTAGGTAACATGTATAGGTCCATGTCCTGCTGTTTCTGTCCAGACTACCTAGGTAGCATGTATAGGTCCATGTCCTGCTGTTTCTGTCCAGACATGTATAGGTCCATGTCCTGCTGTTTCTGTCCAGACTACCTAGGTAACATGTATAGGTCCATGTCCGTCTGTTTCTGTCCAGACTACCTAGGTAACATGTAGAGGTTCATGTCCTGCTGTTTCTGTCCGGACTACCTAGGTAACATGTATATGTCCATGTCCTGCTGTTTTTGTCCACACTACCTAGGTAAGATGTATAGGTCCATGTACGTCTGTTTCTGTCCAGACTACATAGGTAACATGTATAGGTTCATGCCCTGCTATTTCTGTCCAGACTACCTAGGTAACATGTATAGGTCCATGTGCTGCTGTTTCTGTCCAGACTTCCTATGTAACATGTAAAGGTCCATGTCCTGCTGGTTCTGTCCAGACTACCTAGGTAACATGTATAGGTCCATGTCCTGCTGTTTCTGTCCAGACTTCTTAGGTAACATGTATAGGTCCATGTCCGTCTGTTTCTGTCCAGACTTCCTAGGTAACATCTATAGGTCCATGTCCTGCTGTTTCTGTCCAGACTACCTAGGTAACATGTACAGATCCATTTCCTGCTGTTTCTGTCCAGACTACCTAGGTAACATGTATAGGTCAATGTCCTGCTGTTTCTGTCCAGACTACCTAGGTAACATGTATAGGTCCATGTCCTGCTGTTTCTGTCCAGACATGTATAGGTCCATGTCCTGCTGTTTCTGTCCAGACATGTATAGGTCCATGTCCTGCTGTTTCTGTCCAGACATGTATAGGTCCATGTCCTGCTGTTTCTGTCCAGACATGTATAGGTCCATGTCCTGCTGTTTCTGTCCAGACATGTATAGGTCCATGTCCTGCTGTTTCTGTCCAGACATGTATAGGTCCATGTCCTGCTGTTTCTGTCCAGACATGTATAGGTCCATGTCCTGCTGTTTCTGTCCAGACATGTATAGGTCCATGTCCTGCTGTTTCTGTCCAGACATGTATAGGTCCATGTCCTGCTGTTTCTGTCCAAACTACCTAGGTAACATGTATAGGTCCATGTCCTGATGTTTCTGTCCAGACTACCTAGGTAACATGTACAGATCCATTTCCTGCTGTTTCTGTCCAGACTACCTAGGTAACATGTCTGTCCAGACTACCTAGGTAACATGTATAGGTTCATGTAACATGTATATGTCCATGTCCTGCTGTTTCTGTCCAGACTACCTTGGTAACATGTATAGGTCCATGTCCTGCTGTTTCTGTCCAGACATGTATAGGTCCATGTCCTGCTGTTTCTGTCCAGACATGTATAGGTCCATGTCCTGCTGTTTCTGTCCAGACTTCTTAGGTAACATGTATAGGTCCATGTCCGTCTGTTTCTGTCCAGACTTCCTATGTAACATGTATAGGTCCATGTACGTCTGTTTCTGTCCAGACTACATAGGTAACATGTATAGGTTCATGCCCTGCTATTTTGTCCAGACTACCTAGGTAACATGTATAGGTCCATGTCCGTCTGTTACTGTCCAGACTACCTAGGTAACATGTTTAGGTCCATGTCCGTCTGTTTCTGTTCAGACTACCTAGGTAACATGTATAGGTCCATGTCCTGCTGTTTCTGTCCAGACTACCTAGGTAATATGTATTGTCCATGTCCTGCTGTTTCTGTCCAGACTACTTAGGTAACATGTATAGGTCCATGCCCTGCTGTTTCTGTCCAGACTACCTAGGTAACATGTATAGGTTCATACCCCGCTGTTTCTTTCCAGACTACCTAGGTAACATGTATAGGTCCATGTCCTGCTGTTTCCGTCCAGACTACCTAGGTAACATGTATAGGTCCATGTCCGGCTGTTTCTGTCCAGACTACCTAGGTAACATGTATAGGTTCATGTCCTGCTGTTTCTGTCCAGACTACCTAGGTCACATGTATAGGTCCATGTCCTGCTGTGTCTGTCCAGACTACCTAGGTAACATGTATAGGTCCATATCCGTCTGTTTCTGTCCAGACTACCTAGGTTACATGTATAGGTTCATACCCTGCTGTCAGGAGTTAAAAAATATGTTCCCGTTAGGATTCATAAAAGGCAGTCTTATGATTAATACTGTCTGGACTATCAAGTGTAATGGTTTCTTGACTTTCTTTTGTCCTCATTACAGAGGTTTTGCGATTTTTTTTGGTTCACTTTCCGCTTTTGCCCGGCTTTAAGAGGTTTTACGAAGATAAGTTTTGCCATATGGTGGTTTCATGTTTTGCCCTTTCTCCGAATTATAAGGGTTTACGAAAATTTGTAATGTCATGCTCTCCTCCTTTCCGGATTATAGAGGGTTTACAAAAATTGTTTTTATATTGCTTTTTGTTAGGGATGTTGTGGAATTATACGAAACAACACTAACGCTGTACCGCTGAACTGTTTTCCCTTAACACATCTAAAATCCGTTCCAGGTGAAAAGATACTTCGAAAACACCTACATCTGCTATACGAAAAATGTGTCGACCTTAAAATACTTCGTACAGAGGCCTGACGTCATTGACTGGAGCAAGCCGGCAATCTTCACAGGTGAGTGCGGTCTCAAATTACTTATAGGCATTGTACTAAGTTAAGTAACAGCTTTGAAAAATATACCGACCAAGCAAATACAGACGTCAACTGTGTTTACGTGTACAATACAATAATATTTTATCTAAAATTACCTATTTGCGGCACCCACCTGTGCAACTCACCTGTGCAACGCTTTTCCACCGTCAGACCAGATGCTTTACTTTTAGAAATAATTAATTTCAGGCGTTTTTTGTATATACATGTTGGCATTTAGAATATTTAGTTTTGAGTGATTTTGTTTAAAACAAAATGGATGAAATTGTTAGTTATCGGGAGTTAAATTTCGAAGAATCAGCATTCTTAAGTTGACAATGCTTAAACTGGGTCACGGTATTTTTCGTGACAAATGCAACTTTTTTCATGTCAAGGTGACAGAAAGGAGGGTCTGTTTCAAATCACGTCGTGTAAGTAATGGATTCTGGCGAAAAGCGTGTCCCGAAAACTTACGTAAACCTGAAAGACACGTATGTAAGGTGTCACATGTTTCACATTCAGGATATTTTTGTTGATATAAAAAGGCTACAGTAAACGTTTAAAAAACATCCAGTTTTGGTGGAAATAGAGCAAAACGAAAAAAATAGTCTTACAAATATTTAATGTACATAGTACTTCTCAAGATGTCTTCAGATACGAAGCATTAAATTAATGGATGTTATCGCAAAGTTAAACTTACTGAAATTGCAAAATCCATGATACACCCTTCCGATTTGTGACGTGGGCGTACTGATTAAACAGATGTGTCTATACATATTGCCATAATCGTGATTCGTTACTGACCGAATTCCATTTTCGAACCTTAATCTTGTTCTTTATTCGAATTTAATCTTTATACGTTGTAAACACATCGTATTGCCATTTTCCACAGGAGTACCAAATGATCTGGTTTTACTACTCACCGAGATGACCCGGAAGTACAAGGGTACCCTTTCCTCGTGTGAACCCAGGTTCATGTACGCATGGACAAAACAGTCACCACCGGAACTACCCGAGTAAGTCTATCCCAGCATGCACCAGACAAAATGTTGTCAACTGAAATAAGTTTACTCAGTCACTGTCCCTCGGCTTGTTCAAATATATATTTAATACGATGCATTTGATTGTTCGGCTGAATACGAATTTTCTCCACAATAATGCCTTCAATGTACATGTACTTTAAACTCGAAATTCCAGGAGCTACTTTCACTCACGTTCTCTGCATTGCGTAACCCCTGAATTTCGAGGATGTACCTATTATAATTAGCCAATGATCAAAATCAACAGCTGATGTGGGGCTGCTGCAGAATCAATTAGTGAGCTAAGTGATCTGTAATTTAAGAATGCCTCATATTTCTTTCAAAAAATCAGCTTTTATTTTTTTTCTCTCGTTTCAATTGATCTTATTGTACAAGTAATATTGCAATCATAATGTCCTTTCAAACAAATGTTGTCACAAGTCTATAGCTTATGATAAACATGCTTTTTTATGCAATTTTTTATTGGCAGTTTTCTTTTGTTCTCTTTTTTTACGTGTAGAAAAAATGTAAGAGTTTGAAAAGTCATTATCCTAAGCTTTGAGAGACCACATAAACTGGGAAACATAACCGTCCTCATACGTCACATTAAACATTCCAGTCACCTCAATTCCAGCTTGGAAATTAACATAACACTTATCGAACGCACCGACGTGGACATGACCAACTTTAAACAATAAAATATCGAACGCGCCCTTATTTTACCAAATATAGAAGAGAACAAACAAGAAGCGTAGATCGTACTGTGTACACTAGTAACAGGTGGCTGATTGAATTACAAATGTACATCGGTAATTAAAAGCCTCAAATATTTGTATAACAGCTGGTATCTGGTGTACCAAATTTTACATAGTAACAGCTTGCTTGTACTGTGTTTCGTGGGATATGTACTTTCGTGTATATTTCGGAGGATAATTCGTGTTTTATTGTAATGTAGGGACATACTGTTAAATACAAAACAAAATGTATTTCAGTTATTGAATGTACTTGTTGTCTAAACTGCCAATTATGTTTCCATGCTATCCCCATATTCATGGTCCGTCGGTCCAAATGTCCAGTTTGACCATGAATCTCTGATAAAAATATTAAGGAGATGTTTTGTTGTTGTTTGGTATTAATATATGTACACAGTACAGTTGTGTTCAGAGCGTGCCTTCTATTTAGAGCAGTTCAGCCAAGGTCTTTTATGGTCTACGTATACAGTAGCTGTCGCGTGCTAAGTTCGTGACCTCGTTTGTTTAACATGATTCCCCGGGGTAATTTATCTCCATGTCTGGGGTTTTATGACATGAACATTTGATACATTAGTGGGGAACAACATGGTTTTATGTCTGTCGGATCAGGACTGTACAAATATTATCCCAGTGCACGGACCGTGGACTAGACGACAATATGGTGTCCCCTTTTCTTCTTGCCGCCTTTTTATGTGACGCAGAGGAAGAAACTATATACCTGTCGCCCACATAGGAAAACATTAGATTATCATTTGCTATTTTTGACACATTGTTAGGTAATGCAGTTGTCTAGGCATAGCCCGTTCTCAGAATAATTTGAACGGGTTATGGGTTGTCATGGTACCGTATCCAGGATATGACGTTTCACTGAGATGATGCTTTAGTATGCGCTTGCGTGAACCATATTAATCCTTTAACACCATATTTGTATGAATTATAAACAACAAAACAAACCCAGTTATTTTTTTCATTCTTAATTTCACAGAATTTTGGAATTTGGAAGATTTTCTTCATTTTTCCCTCTTTGCAAGGGAAACAGCCTGTATTCGTCTGTAAAACTAAGCAAACAAATCATTGAAACCTGGTATAAGTGCCGGTACTTATGCGTTAGGTGACCTTACTCTGGCCTAACCACTAGGATGTATACCCCACTTAGTGATAGAACGAGGCAACTTTCAGTGGATGTCCTCTGTGTAAGGACATTAAAGGGGCCTTTGTTGCTCTGTGATTCCCATGACTAATGCCTTTACATTTCCTTGTTTTTCTGAATATTTTTTCTATTTCTATATGATAATTTTAAGTATACTTGTTTTAGACAAAAACAATTTTTCCTGTGATTAACATAATAATCTACTATTTTCTTGCTTTGACGAACCTTATAAGACGAGCATTCGCCTAACTCCCTAACTTTTTTCGTTTAACATCATTATTTCCATTTTGTTTTATTCCTTCAGAGTGCCAAAAGGTTTGCGCCTGTCCACCCTCGGACCGGAGCACGTGTCCATCATGTCCCAGGGCTGGGAATGGTCACGGACGGACATCGAGGGTTATTTCCTCAGTGTTGTGGAACGATTCGACAGTTCTTGTCTGCTGGACGAACAGGGAACGCTCCGGGCCTATATGTGTATGCAGTATAATGGTTCTATGGCGATGCTGTACATCCGTCCGCAGTACCGTAAAGACGGGTATTTTAATATCATTCTCAGCGATTTAACACGCAAGATACTCCTAAAGAACAATATTGCCTATGGTTTCATTCCTACAAACGATACTTGTCTCATCAACCAGTCCCGGGAATTAGGATTTGAGTGGGTACCCCGCGGGGATATGACTTGGGTAAAATATACCCCTCCTCCAAAATTGGGGGACCTTCCTCCAGGGAACAAAACGCTGGTGGTAGGCCACAAGAAAGGGGATGTTAAAGAAGGAAACGAGGATGTAAAAACACCTGCGCAACCTCTCTTCATCAACGCAATTCCGCTAACGATAGGGTGATATTTAAAATCATCTGAGTTGTGAAGCGAATGAAAGAAAGAGACAGAGAGAGAGAGAGAGAAATACAGGACTGGCTGTTGTCCAGTTCGTTTTGTATTTAAGATATATACAAGAGCGGCTAATAGGGAGAGAGAGAGAGAGAGAGAGAGAGAGATATGGAAAGGGAGTGAGAGAGAAGCGAGGGCAAATGAGAGACTTGAAACAGAGACAAGAGATAACGAGCCGGTGAGACAAAAATAGGGATGACATGAACTATTATGAAACTTTTTAAACTAAAAATCAAATACAACGTACTAATCATCGGTCAGCGTTAGATCTTGTTACGTCACATCCGGTAGTAAATGGCAGGTCGATACGGTCAGCGTTAGATCTTGTTACGTCACATCCGGTAGTAAATGGCAGGTAGATACGGTTTCTTGGTAATGCGCAGAACATTAAAAAATACGGTGTCTATTTCCAAGTACATTTCGTTGATAGACTATGTCGATTTAGGCTGAAATATACATTATATATATTTATTTTATTCAAATTTAAATATCTTTACAAAGAAAATACAGATTAACGTAATAGCGTGAACAGACACAAGTGCCAATAAAGGACAGTCAGGGAGTCGTCTTGTTGATGTTAAAACGGACCTTGTTATTAAAAGACGAGATATATATTTTCTGATTATCTTACTGTACAAGTAAGTTAGCAGATCAATAATTACAATCCTGTTCCATTATCAGATTTGTACTGTCTGTCTTCACCGATATAAGTGACTAATATTCTCTCCGAGTATTATCTGTGTTATTTCTGCTGGGTGTTCTATCTTTGATGTCTACATGTAAAACTGGTCTGGTGTATCCCAGACCTCCGGTAAATGCCGTTTAGTTGAACCTACTGCTTTGTTGTTGTCTTTCCCATTGCAGTAGTTGACCGGCATGATTATAATCTGTCATTTCTATCTACTGTTATGCTATTTTTCTTGACTTTGGATAATGAACTAAAATATTTCGCACTTTGCTATGCTAGAAATATATTCGATCCTTTCTCAAATGAAAATAAGTATTTTCACTTCATTTAAAATCATAGACTTTGAACTATAATAACGTTCAACTAATGGAAAGACAGTTTATAATATCTTCATTGAGAAATTTAACCCTTTATGTTTTGTGTGGCTAACCAATTTAATCAAACCTCAATTTTTAACTTTGTCAAAAATGGCGTGTATGTATATGTTCATAAATTATCTTTATAACATATTTTAAGATATCATCAAATTTTACCTTTTTTGTGCCACCGCAAATGTTTTTGTTTTTTAATTTGATGATGCCATTGAGTTTTTATCCCATTGTTGAAGATTTTAATATATTTATTTATAATGGTTAAATGGCGCCAGAAAGCATTTCTTTAGAAAATGACAAACGCCTGTCTAGCATATGTATATTTTTGCCATTGGTTATTGTTTTTTTATGTTCAGTTTTAAAGAAAATAAGATTTGTGACGTCATGACATAGGTCTACGTCTTATTGCAATGTCGGCTGCTATCTCCTTTGAAACCGAAAGAACAGTATCTAGAGATATTCGCTTCTCGATAATCACACTCATTGTCAGTTGTAAATTTTGAAACTATAAATAAAACACGTGCCGAGATGCACCAGGCAGTGAGTGTTTTGCCTATCGTGTTTTAAGCCATTTGTTGTATTATTTCAATTACGCGGTTTCGTTCTTGTGGCTGTCACATATAGATACATGTACGGAGTAATATATTTACGAGTTCATGAATAAAACAAGTCTTTATCTAGAAAAAAACGCAACGTCATGACTTTTTGTTTGTCTACATATCAGTTATTTTTTCAAGATGTGTTTTTCTCGTGAAAAGTCGATCGCGATTTTAAAAGTCCCGCGAATAATTATTCAAGCACATTCATCGAACGTTTTCATTTTGCGAATTTTAATTTGTGAAAGTATTTCATGTGTTCGCAATTATGAATGAGCGGCTTGAACCTAGGTCGCAAAATAAGCATTGGACATACATGGCCAAGCACACACAATTCCTCTGGAGGGATAAGTCAATCTTTCCCAGAGTACTTTGCACATTCTCCATTCGCCTCTGTCAATGGTTCGCTTATCGTTTGACTTTGATGTCACAGTAAATACAATCTCTACCCTGGGTTGTCGTTCCTTACTAGTGAGTGTAAGGGACGACAACTCTGGGTAGAGATTGAGTAATTGTGGCAGCGCCAGGTAAAAAAAGTAAGACGGTTACACATTGTTGTTGGAAAAGTGAATGTTTTCCCGTTTCGGTCTGGTAATCTTGATATTTTTTTTTATCTCCATTGTCAATGGAGATAAAAAAAAAAAAATCTTCTGAATGTATGTTTCAAATGGCATAAATATTGTTCAAATTATTTAGAATTGCTGCTTCTAGCGAGGCGTCTCACCACGGGTTCAATCCGAATGTCTTTCATTCAATTCCACCATTCCTCGTCATATTTTCGTCAACTATCCAACATTTCTGTGTCCTTTTGGAGTCCACGTCAAGGCTTCACACTTTTAATGGTCCTAACAATTCATCCTCAGGACGAACCCAATCCACTCATTAATGACTCTTCTTGTAGTCTCGCATTCCCCAGACTCTCGCCCTCTCTCGAGACTTCCTCGAGCGAGAGTCTCTCTATCGAAACACGAGTGGAGATAAGCGTCTGGTTGAGCGAGACTAGTCGTCTTGGTGATGGTGACGGAATTCTTTCGGAATTCTCTGATACATCCCTCCGTAATGTTATTGAATCATTTGAAACAAATTAAATGTATGCAAATTGGAACTCGCGAAAATATATGCAAGGAATAACAGTAACTTAATCCATGATTATTTTTTTTAATATAATTTTGCCAGGTTGTATGGAAGAGAAGTAAGCTATCATCGGGTGGAGATCTTTTGTCGATAAATGTGAGGTTCATGGTGCACGCGGTGTGAGTTATGGGAGAATGAACAACAATGTCCTGCATTCAAAGAACAGTTGATGTTTTTTTCATGTTTTTTCCCTGTCTTGAAACCTTTCAAATACTTTTATTAGAATGTTTTAAGTTTGCCTGTCACAGTATAATTATGTGAATTAAAACGACATGTTTCGTGCAATCTCACGTCAACACTGCTTTTGCAAAATTATTCAGCATTCCAAGCTTATTATGTTCATTTCTGTTTGACGTAATGGGATCTATTTAAAAACATCAAAATTGGAAATAAACATATCGTAAAAAGGACAATACAAGCTAAGGTGGTGAGTCGTCTGTGAAGTTTCTCGCTTGCCTTACCTGTGAAGTCCCCAAATATACCAGTGCAGTAACCCGGTTTCGTACCCGATTTTTGAGTAGTATTTACCGTGTCGCCTTCTATGGGCAAGTTATTGTTCATTCAAATTGATAATTTTCTGTTATGATTCCAATAAAACTTGGAATATACACTTGCGTATATACTCATTAGTCGTGTATACATGTATCTGTACTAAAATATCTGCTTAAATAGTGTGTCTTGATTGTAATTATGAGTGGAAAGCACATTGAGATTACGACATTTTGACCATACCTACCATTTTTGAAGGTATGTGATCTACTATCAAATGTAATCCTATTTAGTACCTTTGTTTAAAACATTTTTTTGGCTCTATGGCTGTATTGTGATCTGGCCAGAACTTTTTTTTTTTTTTTTTGAAAAGAACACTTTAGAAAAAATGATAACCTTTCTAACAAATACCATATGGTGTTTACTTGTTAAAAGTTTATTGGGTTGTTACATATAAGATTTTGAACACCTTAGTTTAGGTCCAACTGTAACAAATTCTCAGGTCCTCGGTGGTATAGCGTACATCTAAACTGGTAAAGGGAGATAACCGTTTTGACCTCCATACCATGACACAGAAACAAATTTTATTCTGTACAAACTTTGATTTCACTTAACGTTAATAGATCTTGAATTTGTTTTTATTTGATAGTTTATTTTGCCAATTTGATGAGAAATGCTATTGGCACTAAAAGAACATACTGGGCTTTTTATCATGTCCGTTTGTGGTCCTTGTACCTACAAAGGTACTGCAAAAACTAGAAGTGTTTGAAGTGTCTCGTTCAGACAGTTTCTGTTATTATACATTTTATTTTATTGCTTTTAGAGGGAGGGCTGATTTTTACAACCCTTACCTCGTTCGCCGACGGGGTTAAGTAATAAAAAGCTAATGTATGTTTGTATAAATAGAAAAAAACAACAACCCTTATTTAATCAGAAAATCAGAGCTCGGTTTAGCACAGAGCATTAGCATCACAGAGAATTGACATATAAAATTAATATACATTTCATATGAGCTTAGTAACTAATACCTCGACTTAGATAGCAATCTTATTTAATTCCGTGCTAATACAGATATTGTCAGTTTCGCTTGCTATCATTATATGAGCACCTCTATTTACGGTCGGAAGTTTATTTATCAGTCGAAGGCTCCTTAACATGGACGTTCTCTGACTGTTTCACATTTCTCGTGACCTAAATATCGAAGCTCATCTGCAATCATATACATGTATTTTAATGTTGTGTATGACTATTTGTAATATATAAACATGATGTGCACAGAATGAGGAAAAGTACAGTGCAACCTCGTTATACTGCCGCCATTTGTCCAGGGAAATTTTGGCGTTATAAAGGGGTTTGGCAAACCGTGTATTTAATATATTAAGAAAATATCGTAAAAGGATCAATCGGGAACTGACGTTACCTTCCGTAAATGAGAAAACATTTCAAAATATTCATGCTATTTTACCGTTTTACCGTAGCATGCTTCTCATTTAAAAAAAACAACATTTCCACGCTAAGAAACATGACAAATCTAGTACATGACTGATTGTAGTGGTGATTACCTCCCCTTGTTTGTTAAATTCTGCATCTTCATTTACTAGTCTCAAAACAATATCCGGCACTCATGGAAAGAATTTTGGTCGGCAAATAGCTCAGAAAAACAAGATTATAAACAATGCTTTAACGATGTGGATGCGTTTTTTCTATATCAATATACAATATACATATTTTGATATTCATGAAGTATATATTATTATTGTTGTTGTTAAGTCTAACGATATAAATGCATGTTTAGTTGATATGAAGAGTCTTGTCAAAATTGAATCATGGTTTCATAAAAAGAAATGTTTTCAATGATATGGGTTTTTGTTATTTTTGCACTTCAACATAAACGCTCTCAATCAAATTGCCATTGAGCCGAAGTCTGCAAATGTTAAAGTCCATCATTGTCTTAAACAATGGATTTTCACACAAACAAATCCTTTCCTTCAGAATACTCAAATGTCATTTTTCAAGACTCACCTGCGACTGTCACCAGGTTTAAAGCGCTTTGCATGGTTTGTATATTAAGAAACAAAGCAGATTACAAAAATCCCGGTTCATTGTATTGAAACGACTCGGTGGGCGTTTTCCAATGTAGATCAGATTTAGTTCACTACATCACTGTGTACGTTACATTATATTCTTTAGGGTGATGCTGATCCATTCTCCCTGTACAGTCTTATATAAAATCTACAAAAGGTTTGAAACATTTTTCTGTGGACAGCTAATACAACCAGTGATATTTCCCCCGATTTCAATCAGTATTAAACATTCATTTCAAACAAAAATGACGCCGTAATTAACTTGTGTTTACTTTTAATTTGACTTGGTCTCTTTAAGTCTTATAAAATATGTTGGCGGTAAGCGGGGTTGCAAATGGAACTTTCACTGGATATCAACGAGAGACATTAGACCTATATCGAGGTTTTAAACTGGAGAGGGGGCTTTATATTCAGAGTTAAGTGTGTACGAGCAGGCACCATTAGGACCGATCTTTTTCATGGTATTTACTATTTTTACTATTTACTACAAAGGGCCTGTTTCCAGTAATGTTAATTCTCCATAGGAGCCTGCCCCCGTATAATTTCTTATCTAGCTCAACTACTGTTTTTTTCTTTTCCGAAGAATAATTTTACACCTTTCCGACACCCAGATTTCATAATTTCAGTGAAAATGTATTTTTATAAAGTTGTCAATTTCAGCATCAAAGACATAAGTTCGTAAATAAAAGAAGGTTATCTCGAAATTGTAATTCGCAACATAGTATAAATTTCTTTTGATAAATATTTCCAAAACATCGTGTTTATTCATAAAACATAAAAAAAAAAATTCTCGGATGAAAATGCACTTGCAGAGACACAATTATGAAGAAAAATGCCATAAAATTGCAATTTTCTCCCGTTATATAGTTTTGGATGCAAATTTCCATCAGAAAATCGGATAGAGCTTTACTTGTTTCATATGTGTACCAAAAATCAGCTAATTCCATGTGGTGGAACGTTCTCATATCGCCGCCTGAATGTGGTTGTAAATTGAAAGAAAAGGGGAAATGAGTAACAACCTTGTCTGAAACCCTATTATATAGCTTATTATATACAAACTTTTATATTGAATATCAGAGCGGATATTTTCATGACAGTTTTATGATGTGTAACGACTAAATAAACAGTATCGATATAAAGATTTACACTGAGGACACCCTGATACATGAATACTGTTCTATCTCAAGTTGTCCTCTTCTGAATTTTCTGATCGTGTGGCCTTGTACATTTATCCGTATCTTCTTGTCTTTGTCTATACGTTTACGGAATCATTGACTCGACGCTAGCTATTCTTGTCTCACTTTCCTTGTTTTATTGTCCCATCTCCAAAGCGTTGTGGCTCTGTCAGGGTTGGGACCCTGACTTGTCTCACTTTCTTTGTGCCTGCCGACCACGCCACATCGAATAGATAGATTATCCATATGAAATACTTTATTTTGTTCTAAGTAATCAATCAATTCTGCGCTTCTTGGAGGTATTGAATGTGATTTATTATATTGTCTTGTTATTTTGTGTAATTAGTTGTTCGTTATTTATCACACATTTTCGCATAATTGTACCAAACTACTAAGTATTAGCTGTTTACAGCAATCATCGGTGGCTTGCTATTTTGTTACTTTATCGACGCTTCATAAACCAATCGTTATTGTTTCAAGATGGAGGGTAAATGTGTTGGAGAAGGGTGTCAAGTATACTTCAAGAAACGTAGTGGCAATAAGAACAGAAGTGCACGCAATGTAAATAGTCCACAATATAAATGGCTCCTAGATACGCTGGTGCAACAAGGATTGATGTCAGCAAAGGAACAAGCACTTATTTGCCAGAAGTGCTACATGAAGTATCTTCGGAACAAAAATCAGCCTGAACCTGAACCCGAGCAGAACCAGGAAATAGAGGAAGAAGACGACTCCCCGTCCCATATCCTGCCGTTGCTGACCCTTCATGATCTTTTGAATGGATCATCTTCACACAAAAAATGCTGTCTCTGTCTTGTTACCTTTGCAAGAAATGGAACAAAATCATCAGTCTTACCAAAACGTGCAAGACATCACCTGATCTATTCACACAAACTGTGGTGTCCCACCTCATCCCGCGTCTGCTCCATTCACCTTATTGGTAACGACTTAGATCCGTCTACAGAGGTTGTCCTTGATGGTAGAGGTTCCTTGGAATCTCAGTTACCATCAAAATCGTCCGAAATCATTAATGACCTCCTAGAGGTGTCGCACGTCCTTTCACAGAACCAGTCTGCGTTTACAATAAGCTTTTCTTCTCTTGATGACTCGGCATGCATGGCCTGGACAGGTTGGTCCAAAGATCAGTTCCTCGAAATCCACTCGCACTGTTCCCCATATCTTTCATCTGGTATATATACCAAGACTACACACGATGCTCTATTACTGTTCTGGGTAAAACTGAAAACCGACATTTCCTGGAGTCAGTGTTCTTCTCTTTTTGGAATTTCCAAGTCAAGTGTGTCCAAAACTTTCCACTCCATAGTACAGGCATTAGACACATCGATAGTCCCACAATTTCTAGGTCCGGATCACTTGACAAGAGAACAGTTGCTCGGGCACAATACTGTCTTTTCAGAAGCATTTTTTGGAGATAAAGCCACTGCCATATTAGATGGCACCTATATTTATATCCAGAAAAGCTCCGACCACAAGCTCCAGAGAATGTCCTACTGTGGCCAGAAGAAGAGAAACTATCTCAAATTCATGAGCATCGCCTTACCAGATGGCTACATTCTGGACACAGTAGGACCATTCACTGGCAGCGAAAATGATGCTACAATTACAAAAAAAGTCATGGACAAGCTAGTTACTTGGCTACAACCAGACGACAACGTTGTCGTTGACCGAGGTTTTAGAGATGTCCTACCAGTTCTCGAAGCCTCTGGCCTCAATGCTAGCATGCCGTCATACCTGAAACCCGGTCAAAGTCAACATTCTGACGTCCAAGCAAATCTTGACAGAACTATCACCAAATCGAGGTGGATTGTGGAATCCTATCATGGTCGTCTGAAACACTGGACGTTCTTCCGAACGCAATTGGTGTCTAACAGCTTTATCAATGTCATCGAGGCTTTGCTTCGAACCGTCACAGCCTGTCTGAATGGTATTAGAGGACCGATCTACCAGAGATCTCCAGAGAGAGATGCCAAAGATAGGCTAATGGCTGAACGTATGAAGGACCGTTTGACAACACCGAATGGTTTAGCTCAGAGAGTCAAGACAGATCCGGATCTATCTAGACGGGCAAGGTCCGAGTTTGTCAAGATGGATGCATCTTCCGTACTGTTTCCCCGTCTCGATCTTGATTACTTGAGAACCATTACGTGTGGAACGTATCAGATATCTCTGGCTCCTGGTTACATCGCCGAACATTTAAGTGATGACGGAGACTATGAGGTGTGGCTTTACCAGCACTCCCCAGACCTTCTCCGATGTCAAATACATTCTCGACACAAAAGCCAAACGAAATATAACGTTTGGATACGGTTCACCGTTTCACCCGATGTTGAGGCCCCAATAAAGGACTACTACTGCCAGTGCCCAGTTGGAGAGAGAACGATGGGAATGTGTGCGCACATCTCCAGTATCTTGTACTACCTTGGGTATTACAGGACGCTGGAAAACCCTCGACCATTACAACCACAGGTAAAGAAATTCCGACAAAACTTGAAATAGTTTTCCATGCGGCAACGGAGTGCATATGTCGAAAGTATGTTTGGGGCTCGATATGAAAGATCCCCGTTACCATGTGACTAACCAAACTTATAAATATAGGTATTATACAATCGCCCGTAGCTATGAACACTCCCGTAAATGCGAAAACCAACCAAAATCATAAGGAACACGTTTTGTTTGTTGTTCTGTCTATTTGTCAGCCAATGTCTTCAACCACGGGGACTTGTGAAGTAGCCATCTTGGATTTTTTTTATGAAAAAGTGTTTCTCTCACTTTTTTTCATATCTGTGTACATATTCTCAACATACCGAGCAAATACTCTCGTTTTTTTGTTAATTATCTAAAGAAAGTCGAAAATCGGCAATTCAACCATAGGCTAATTCAACCCAACATTTGAAAATGTTCCACCACTTACATTTTGATGATTTTTCCTCTCATCAATAGCATATTACGTACTGTTTAATAGGATAAAAATTGGTTTGCATCCAACGCCCATAAAAGGGTGTATTCTCTAAAAAACACAGTTTTTGTGTCTAAAATGTTATCATCGAAAATGGCATTTTTGAGATTGTTTCTTCCATAAAACAGCCAAATGGCGCGATGGAAACATGATTTTTTGTCACAATCATGCCATGAATGTATTCTTTACGGTGACCATCATTTGATTAGATTTTCATTAATATTTTACATAACATGCACATTTTATCAACACTTAGACAGCTTCTGAAAGGTACAAATTTGAGGAGCCATAAAACAAACCAAGTGACCTAAATCTTTATACTTTATAGATTTGTGACCACAACGGCATGGGCAATGCACCACCAACAGGAAATTTGAATCAGAGAAGGGGCCGTTTTGGAAACTGGCCCTTTAATATATGTTTCAAAATTGAATGAAGAATAAGGGAAGCTATCGTAATTTAATTATAAAAGATACACTAAAAGGTTAACTTTTACTGCGTAACATCAATATTTTGTACACACCAACATATTATGTTTAAAATATGGAACGTTTTGGGATGTAAATTATTTTATTTGGTTGTGAATATTAAATAAGTAGACTTTACCACAGAATTGCT